TTATTCTTTAAGAGAATTTTAAATTTAAACACGAATAAAGCAAAAAGTTAAGAAATACAACTAAAAAAATTGATATATTTGTTGACAGAATAAAAACGCGACTACAAGACACGCGCAGAGTTGCCAAACTGACAAATTTGAGTTCTTGACTTCTGCTTTTATACATATTGAGCTTTTAAACCTATGCTTTTATACATCTGAGTTCTTAATTGCTGTTTTTATACATTTGAGTTCTTAACTCCGTTTTTATACATTTGAGTTCCTAACTTCTGCTGGAGGAGGTTGTGCATGTTTTTATTAACCCAAACGGACGTGCACGGACAGATCGGAGTGACTGGTTGCGGACGGTGGGTACCCTGGGGCGGACGAACTTGTTCTTAGTAAGGAAGCAAGAACGCTTCCTTACAATATTTACAACTAACATGTGATTCCGTTGAAAGCGCTTCCGCCGACCACAATTTTGTTTACAAATTATTTTCAAGTAATAATTATTAAAATCGCTACTGATTACCATTAGTCCCATTCGGGTAAAGTAGGATTCGAGTAAGGAGGAGGAGGAACAGCATACAAAAAAAAAGAAAGAAATTGAAGATTCGAAATCTTATCCGTCTGTGTTGAATTATCTGTTTCAATTGTAGCTTGAACCACCAAATGCTAAATATCAGTTGGAACAGCAAATGGAGGTTAGATTGGATCGATGAACTTTTCCAATGGCCATTGTGTATGTGCATAAATTCGCGCATTTCTTAATTTTCTTCTATGTTATGGCAAGGATGCAAAAAATTCATCAATCTGAAGTCTTTTTTTACGTTTTACTGTTCGATTTCTATTCATCGTTTTGTATTAAGCAGAGAATTGTGGGTTTTGGCGTTCTCTAGTTTCAAATTCCAAAAAGCGAAGGTTTTTCGTTTTTTTCAGCCAACTTTTTCCAACAGAAATTTTGACTTCCAACCCAAAACAAATATTCTTTCCTTTTTTAATTTTTTTCCCCTATAATATTTTGACCAAAAAAAGAAGATATACTGATTTTACATCTTACATTTAACCATTTTAAAATGTGGTAATGTTTAAACGTACTTTACTAAAATGTTCAAACGTTGCCACGGTTATTTATGATCAGGCTAAAAAACCATCGTGTCATATATATGTGGCGTTTACAAGCGAAGGACCTTAAGACTATCTTTCTTCATCAGAAAAGCCATCTTTCTTAAAATTAAATTTTACTACCTTTATTTTTTTTAAACAAATACCAAGCCATTCTCAGTAACACAAGAGCAGTCAATCCATCGGGTCGTAGCACCAAATTGAAAATCTTTTCTGTACCATTTCTTCATATCTCTCTGTCGAGAGACAAAGTTTCAGTTATATTATTATTGTGTAGTGGTGTTGTGTTTATGGTTAACAACTATGCCTCCAATTAAACTGTTAAGAATTTCGACGTGCTGATTGCCTTTGCTTGGTATTACAGTATTTGCTAACAAAATGCCCTTTATTATTTCTATGTTCAGTGCATTAGAGTCGTTATTTATTGCAATTTTAAATGGTGCTTAATTCTTTATTGACGATCGGTAAAATAATTTGTCATTATTTGTGGGGACGCTTCTTAATTTATGATGCAGTTATATTTGTATAGAAAGTCTCTTCTACCTCTTTTGATTACGAAGCCCTATGTGACCAATTGTATTTACTGTTTTAGTATTTGTCGATTTCGAATTATGTTAATTGTGGTTGATCTAACTGAATCTATTGTGTCATTTGTAATTCTTGCAAGTTTGATGTGCTCTTCGCAGTTTTCATTATAGATGGGCAGTAAGTTTTCTTTGCAGAGTGATATATTTCCGTCTGTGTCGACCAGAAATGTTAAGTATTGCGAATTTTTTCTTCGAATTTGTTTTCTTTTGTTGCTTTTTTGTATGATTTTAACACTTCCTTTTTTAAATTAGTTATTAATCTTTCTAACTAAGATTCTTTCAAACTATGATTCTTTCCATGGAGAACTCAAGAGTTTATATATATCTTTAATAGTATAATTTGTTTAATATGTTTTTTATCCTGTCTTCAAATGGTTTACACATTGTTTTGTATAATGGTTTTCTTAGCTACTTATTGTTTTAAGTACTTTATAATTTTTACAACTGCATAAGAGGGACTTAGTAAATATAAATGGTCTGCTTTAATATTAGTTTCGTAACCCATATTTGTTTGATGCAGTAGGGAGGTTTTTTAGGTACTTTCTTACGTCTTGAATTTTCTCGTGGTATTGTGTAGATCACGAAATATATGCAACATTCATGAACCCACGAATATATGTGCAATATTCGTAAACCACACAGTGTTATCTGAACTTTCTTCAGTATGGCAGCGTAAGAGTGATTAAAAATATTGCCAGTGTTGTTTGGGAATATTGCCGGAAGAATTTCAAAAAAGTTTCAGTTTGGTATGGTAAACCAATGACAGGCTCTGGAAGGGGCAGGATACCTAATCTGCAGGATCGGCATTTAATGTGTGAACTTTCATTATACTACAGTCGGGACATGACCGCCGTAGGCATTTAGAGGAATCCACAATACCATTCACAACTCTACCTGTAAACCCAGCACATTTTGGGTGAAAGAGGCGATCACAACCAACATAACTTAAATACAACCCTACCCTATACAATTAAATTTCATAATTAATTTTGAATTAATAATCGATACTAAATAATATAATAAAATATAATAAAATTTTAAAAACAAGTAAAATCGCATTTTTTTGTAATAGATGTAATCTGCAGATTTTCAGGAAAGGATACATAAACATATTGAAGATAATTATGTCGATTTTATGCCAAATCATGCTACCTCGGATATGTACGTATATATTTCTCGTTTTAACAGAATATTGATTTCGATTTCTCGTTTTAACAGGTACATTGATGAAGAAGAACTGAACAATTAAATTAAAAATGGTACAAAATTATTGCTTAGACTAAAATTTAGCTTGATAATATTGGCTTGAACTTTCTGATGTAATTTTGCATTTTATTGTTACAGACAGCGAAAATAGAGCGTAGAGGTACTTCTAAAGTGGAGTATTTGCAAGAAATAGAATAGAAAGTGCAGCAAGAGAAAAGCAAAGTGCACTATGTAGGGTGCGTTTCTTTCTTTTGAAGTTGTATTGAGACATCAGTTGTTTTTAATTAGCAGTTCAATCTAATGCTGATTTATCAATAGCCAGAACGAACGTTAAAATTTTCTGAATATGTGAACAATTAAACACTTGAACATTTTGTGAAGAACTTTCCATTGTTGTGTTGTCCAGAGAGTTCCCTTGCCAATAGAATACAAAACTTATGACGACTTTTGAGCCTGCTGAAGATGAGTGGAATTTAACGATTTTACGTTGTTCCCAGAATAATGCTGTTCTTTGTGATAACATTGCAAAGCAATTTTGAGACAAATTCACAAAGCACTGTATTAAACAAATATTCCAACTTATTTATGTGCGATCTGTAAAGCAGCATCGGCATTCATTTACACGCCATTCTCATAACGGAACTACCTTCGTCTCTTATAGTGAATCCAAAATTAAATGAAAAAAACAAAATAATGTTGCTAGAGAGGCTAGATAAAAAACTGAACTTAACTAAAAAACTGTCTCACTATCGTCGTTAGGAGCATAGAGACAAAAAAAAAATATTTGAAAAGAAGAAAGAACACAATTTTCAAATGATTGGAAAGCCCCTTAGAAGAAAACTCGTTGTAAATTTGCAATCGACTGTGAACTCGAAATTGAAATGAAAATTGAATGAAAATAAATGTAAAGAAAACATTTTTAACAAGCCATATGCGTCTTGAACATAATATGATTGTAAGTATAATATAATTACTTTAAAAAATCATATATATATATGTTTTCGTTTTTTTTTTTTAATTTTATTTCAGCTTTCCAAGTGAAATCTAAAGGAGAATGTCGTGCTAATGTCACTGTACGTTTATCTTGAAATTTTCTTTAATAATTAATGTACAAGAAATGAAATCATTGTTTTTAAAGCAGTAACATAAACAATATAGGTTTCCATAGGTTGCACTTCAGATCGTTTTCAATTACCCGCCAACGTAATCCTTAAACATGAGACTTTAATATGTTCTTTCACTAGGCCCTGACTTCCTTGTTTATTTTTTCGTATCATTTTTTAAAATTAAGTAGACTTTTCGTTTCGTTCCTTTTATCGCACCGGTTCGTTCGGCACCCTTTTCTGTTCTATCTGCTGTTCGCTTAACATATGTTCATGTGCGTGTTTCAGAGTATGCCGGATATATTTCGCGTTATATATTTGGGGTTAATATACCCCGCTGGCATTAACTAATATTTGTCAGAGTTCGAATATTATATTTCTACTAGAAGATTTATTTTTATAGAGAAATATCGGTCTCAAATTTATGCCGATGCTTTATTTATTTGTTTGTGTACTTTTCTTCTTCCTCTTCTTTTCGTTAATTTCTTTACTTTGATAACTTTTGGGGGTTTATTAACCAAAAATGACGAAATGACGGTGTTTTAACAGCAAATTCACGACATGTGATTTCGAAAGAACGATTTTGTTCGTCTCCTTCTTCGCTTAACCAATCATTAGGCGATAAAAGAACTTACACAATGAATTCTTTTCTCTTCGGCGTATCTCCAATTTACAGACTGCAATTTTCAGAAAAGAACTCTGTTGGATATTGTTTGGGTTGGGCAACTTTCGCAGCCGTTCCCCATATAATGGCGTTAAAAAAGCAGTTACATGAAAAAGAGGAATTTTAAGGAATGTCTTGACGAAAAATAATAGTATTTCGATGTTCTAAGTTGATGTGAAAATCTTGATTAAGATGGGTTAACTTTTTGAGCGCCCTCCCATACAACCCTTCTAATAATTTTTTTATATTTTTTTGATGAAAGTTGGCCCACAACATTAATTTGACATAGATGTAAATGTTTTCTAATATATAATAAAATATATTCATTTAAAACATTTATTTCATGTTATTTTTCATTGTTATTTGCATATTCAATTGAGCTTGTGCTATATCCTCTAAAGCATTTTGTATCTTACCTAAAAGCACTTCACCTTTTAGCACTATTTCTTCTAAGCGTTCGGCCGCTTCTTGATTTTCTATTTCTAAACGTTTCAGACTTTGATTTTGTAATTCTGTAGAGCTGTCTTCGTTTGGAAGCGATTCAATTAATGTGTCAATGTCTTTGGCGGATCGTGAAATCAATTGGGCAAATAATTGAGCATAATCTTCTTGCTGCGGATTCTGTATCGGAGTTTGCGATCCAGTTCGATCGAAATTTGGAAATTTGCTTGGAAAGGATGTTTGTTGTATTATGCCAATGGCGTTGCAAAAATTTTCTGCTTGCTAAAGAAAAGTTAAGGAATTATTTAGAAATTCTCATACAATTTGGTGAAAATGAATACAAACCAAATTGACAGTGTCTTGCAATTGAGTTAATCGATCGGCCATATTTAATATATGAATTTGAAGACTATACTCATCTTTTTTTCGGATATGGAATAAACATGTACTAGATCAGGCAAATATGACTGAGTCTATAAACTACTTTGTATTGTTTAATATTTTGCAGCAATACCGAACAATTTGCAATAATTGTTTTATTTTCTTGCAATGTTGCCACTTAACACTTTTTTTGCAATTAACGCGATTGTAAAGGCAGAACGTATGAAAATAGCAAACAGTGTTCACATTGAACGTTTTCTGGTCCGGAACATGATTGCTTCGTGGAATACTAAAACGGGAACAAGAAGAGAAAATAAGCTAGTGTTTTCCTATTATTATTCTTATTTAAACATTCAAACTTAAATAATTGAATAAAGTATCTAAACATATACATACATTCGACGATAAGAATAATGTAAAGCATTCTCTTTGAAAGACTTTCTGCAGTGAATTAATTGTAGTTGGCTTGTCGTAATCTAGAAAAAGAAGAATTTCCAAGAGTTCAATAGTTCATAGTAAGCATTCCTGTTCATTTGTTCATTATTCATAAGTACGTAGCTATTTCGTTTAGATTTCGTTTTTAAAACGAAGTTCGATTAGAAGGCGTTACACTTCTTCCTTTTACAAATGCACAGTTAATAAGTGTAGTCGCAATGTGATCATAAAAACGGTCTCATTAAAATTCGGAAAATTTTGATTCTATCAATTACCATAGGATTCTCCACCGAGCTCACGCCTAGTTTTAAAATTGCAAACCCTTATTATATCCTTCAGCGAAGGATGAGGCGTATATTCAGATACCCCACAAAGTATATATATTCTTGATCAGCACCAAATTCTCACACGATTTGAGCACGTCCGTCTGTCCGTCGGTGTGTCTGACCGCGTGTGTAATGTCAAATTTCAAATTTGGCAGAAACATTGGAAGTTATTGCACGCAGGGTCGTGTTGAAAATGGACCAAATCGGTCGAAGGACACGCCCAAGCGCCATCACGTAAGCTGAGAAACTCTCATTTTTTCAAAAGGAATAAAAAATTATTTTTTTGCTCATTAATCATAAACTATAGCATGTAGGTGCGCAAAAGTTTGAACGCATGTTCCTTGGATGATGCTGTAACACGTGTACAAAAATGGGAAAAGTTGACAACGCTTATCCAATATTATAGTACATAAAAATTTAACCTTTTCTCCTGTTCATCTGTCTCACAGCCCAGTTTTGCGATATTCATATGTATGTGCTCGACCGATAAATGTTATGCCTTTGCCGACTTTTCTGGTTTGGTTGTAAAGAGTAATAATTTAGGAAACAAATACTTTAAGTAAGTGCACAATTACTTATGCACAATATCGATGTACAATGTTAACACGTTCACCATTATGTGTGTTTGAAATTGTTCCGGAGATTAATGAACTATATTGATACGTTAGAATGCAAAGGAACAAGTTGTTATGAAGTTGATGTTGAATATCTTTAAGTTACTGCTCCTCACTTTGCTTATAACTTCTATTAATTTTGATTGTAACAATTTATATTTTAACTTTATTATACTATTATTTTTTAATATTTAGTTACCATTATTTTTTTAAGATAATAAATTATTTTATACATAAATAAAAGAATTATGAGAATTATAAGTTTGCTTTACGTTCTGAAAACGGCACAATCTAAACATATACCTGCCTCTACATGTTAAACATACTATTCTACATTCGCTCCTCACGACGTATGTTACATATTATACTGAAGTCTTTTCAGAGTGCCCAAGGTATAACTATGATATGGTTCAAACTATTATTAACCGTACAATACGCTTTGCTGGAACGTTTACAATTTTCAAGCTCGAATAGAAATTCTTTTATATTAATACCACGTATTTCCAACTCATCAGTTGAGCGATCTTTTACTTTAGGCAATATTAACTCTAGCGTAGCATGCCATATAATTCCATTGCACGTTTTGCTTGGCAATTATAATGAGTCATTGGTTTGTTTCAATGCCTCACAAACGTTTTATTGGAAAATATTGAAAAAGCTGGTCTCCATTTGTTTGCAATTAAGAATAATTGGAGGAGGGAGTCCGTATTTGTTTAAAATTGATACCAATTAAAAAATCGAGACCGAATTTGGTCACATCTGAGAAAATATTGAAAAAGTTAGTCTGCATTTCTTTACAATTGAGAGTAATTCAAGGAGCGAATCTGTATTTGTTGACAATTGAGAACTCGAACGTTTGTTTTTTGTATCCTACACGGCCTTTTATACACAGTAAATTAAGTTCTTGCAAAACTATGTAACACCCGGAAGGGCTTAAAATAGATCTAACTTTTATTCATTTTCTGAATCGATCTGAACTCATCTGTCTGTCCTTCTGATGTCTGTCCGAGGGTTGTGGTGTTCAACATACAAGTCGCAATTTTAAAGATGTTTTGATGGAGCTTGGTACATTGACGTCCTTTGACCCAAGGCGAACGCTATTAAGAATAATCCGCCGAAAATATAACGCCTTATTATAAAAATTCGTCTTAGAGAAAAAGATTGCAATTTCCAAAATTTTTCAACAAAGCCCCGCTAAGTGATTCGTCTGAACTAACGCACATACTTAAACGCCGTCAAATAATTATAGATACTCAGGAAGCCGGCATGGAGGTACCACACAACTTCCAGGTGGTCAATGTGCACACGGAATTTCACGAATTTTCTCGAAAACAAATCAAAGATTATGAAAAAAACATTTACCACGTAAGTCTTATCTTCAATTAATAAACCTCATAAGGACGACTTTGCGGCGGTATGCCCGCCAAGCCGAATATTTGCGGCGTTTGGGGCGGCCTGGCGCCGCAAATCATACACCGCAAAAAAGAAAGAGAAACAGGCGACGGGGGAAGAAACGGGGAGCCCCGTCACAACTAAAAAGTTATGATTTACGCCACAAGATTGAAAGGCTAAGGCGCTGCAGAGAAAATAACCCTAACACGCCATCCAATCGGCCCAAAAACTCCAAACGGCGCAGCAACCGAAGGAGTAATGAAAAACAAATCAATATCCAAATTAATATGTGAATTTATTTCATTTAAGATCATTTCAATATTTGAAAAAAAAGGTTTTTTTCATTTTCGATAAAATTGAATTTTATTTTTTAAGTGTTTTCACTTTGAATACACTTAAAAAGTGTATTTTTCTTTTGACAGTTGGTTACACTTTTATGCACAGCTGGATAAAGTTTTGACAATTCTTCCTCTTGCTCATACAATTTAGGGTTGCCAAACTTAGCTAATGCGTTCGATAATATGAATATATGGAAAGAATTATCATTTTATTTTTGAAAATAGGGTAAAATCGAATGCCGCGCCTATAAAAATTGTATAAAACTATTGAGGAGACGTACAAGGGGAGAAGAATGCATATTTTTTATACCTTTATATAAAAAAGATTATATATTATATTTCAAGCACTTGTATGAACATATAAGAGTTAACATGAGATTAATATGAGATTTTCATTTTACCCTGATAATCCCAGTTTATATATTACTAAGATATTACTAAGATAAATATCCTCATATATATTTCGAGTTTTTGGTTTTTCCATTCCTTTGCCGCCACGCGAATACTCTATATAATCTTCGGTTTGTGCCAACAGTAGCGACAATATGTTCCTTCGTCTGAAAAAAAATAAAATATATTATTGCACGGTTGTAATTGAGATCTCTAAATACTTTACGAATTTTTATATCTTTAAATAATTTGATGCAAGGTTATAAATTCAGCGGCTAAAACATTCTACATGTCGGGGGGGCAGATCAATGTCCCAATTGTATTCCGCGGACCCAACGGGGCTGCTATGGGCGTGGCAGCTCAACATTCTCAATATTTTGCGGCTTTGTATTCCCTTTTTTTTTTCATCAGCAGTTCCTAGAGGAATTGCAGTGTTCATCAATTCGTCTTCGTTTTTTTTCTTGTTTTTCGTTTTCGTTTGTTAGTGCAGTGGTTTTCGACCAAATTCCTTGCGGTACTCGCATTTAATTATCCTTTATTGGCTATCAAATGCACGCCTTTTTTTTGTTTGGTCGTAGCAAGCAACCTAATGCGAGTAACTGTCGCGAGATTTTGTTAGTTTCTTCAGTTGTTTTTAGTTTTCCATGATAAAACCACAACTAACAGCAGACTAAGCTAGCTTTGACAAATACAAACTTTTTACCGATTACAGATATTCATGTGTAGGTACCCTTTTTTCGATTATTCCCTATTATTGCTTTGTTGTAAAGTATTGTCACACGCACTTCTCTTTATGTAGATTTCAGTATATAAGAACAATGGATTTTCTCTGAATAATATTTTCTGTCATTTTATTTATTTTTTCCATTTTTTCGTCTCTATTCTTAACATAGGTTTTATAGAACAAAAGCAAGCGTTTTTGTTGTTTCGCAACTACCAAGGCATTTTGTTACTTATCTTTTCTTTTCAATTTACTGGTTTTCGATGAGAGTGTCCCTGCTTGAGTGCCGCTTGTGAGGACTTTTGCCCGTTCCCTGGTCCGATAGATACACCAGTTTCACCGCCGCATTTTGACAGAGAACCGCTAAACAGTGCTGCGGCTCCTTTAGAGTATTCCGAACATAATAGCTCACTGGGAGCAACACAAGATGTTGATCGTCGTCAGCTGCATTTACCACCATTTGGAAAATTGGGGCTTAGCAAAGGTTTCTATAGTTTTATTTTGAGATTAATATATATATAATAATTTGATTTTAAAAATCAGAGAAATCCCGTCAATTGGATATTGATCATTGGAATTTAATATCATTAACCGGTTCACCGGGAGCAAATGATCTTGATAAAAAGTCTTGGTTATCAGCGTCGGCAGATGAGGTAAATTTTTCAAAAAATAAATTAATTATAATATAGTTTAAAATAAAATATTTTTTTTGTAGTTTAAATCCTTGTCATCAAGTGACGTAGATTATCGTAGAATCGGTCAAAATATTAAAACTATTGAGACCGCAGCGTTGACTTCAATTACCACTACTACAAGTGCTACCACGACTAGTGATGTTTCTGAGGAAAATAAAGCTTTTTCCGGCAAAGTGAACGTTAATTAATAATATTATTTTGATTCCAATATATATTTGCATTAATCATTTTAAAAATTATTTTTACAGGAGACTTCCATCGCTTCACCACAAAAAGATAATAAAAGTAAGTTGTTTACTAAATTAATGACAATCAATGAAATAATTCAATCTGATAAATTTTATAGGCCCTTCTGCCCTTTCAAAATTTATGCAGACTCTACTTATAGATTTCAGCAGTTTTCCCGACATATCAAAAATCTGTAGTCCCGCAATGCCTTTGAAAATTATCTTAACACGATCGAGACATTGCATACTTTCAAGAACCAATAGCTCAATGTCACAAACTAATAAGGCGGATAGCATGGGTATCAAACCCAAAGGTGAATCAGTCATCGAGATGTTTGGACCAATCTTTTGAAGGAATTATTTTAAACGTTTAGAATTAATACTTTGCGTTGTACATAAATTAATTGTTGTTGTCGTAACTGTTGAGCATGTTGACACGACGTAGGCTTGAGACTGGGTGTTGACGTGGGTTTCATGCTAACTGTTACTGCTGACTTTGCAGGAGGCTTTGTTGCCCTTGTCTCAACCTTTTTAAATTCTACTACACCTTTATTCTCGCCGAAACAATAGAGATTTTCAAATTTCCCAAGAACGGCTGCAGTCTTTGTAATGAACTTCGTTTCCACAAATTCGTCTCAGACAGTTCAATGAAATTTAAAAGATACATTCCAACATTATTACTTTTGTTTTAGAAAGGCATGGTCACGGGTGGTGGACCTGCGACCATACGCGAATTTTCCTGCACAACATTGTCACAATCCACCAAATCGATGATCGGCACGTTTGTGTCGATTGTTACTATTTCTTTACGGTTTGATGCCATTTCTAATGCTTATTAAATTTCTCTCTACTTTTCTCTTTTTTTTTTGCTTTGCTTGTGTTAAAAAACAAGGAAAAATACATTTAAAGTTCAATGTTATATTTTTGCAAACCCACTTTAAGCTCACATTTTATTTAGGCAAAACCTTTAAATTATTTATTCAGCGTGAAAATAACAAACCGAACAAAACAACAAGCGCAGGCATTTGTATATAAAACCTTCTGAATTTTGCATAGAAATGTTGCAGTGGTTTTCAATCTACCATTCAACAATTATTGCCTAGATCTAAAAACAAGGCGACATTTGCGTATTTAATACCCACAAACGCGAGTTTTTACAAAACTTTATGGGAATTAATAAATTATATGGATTTGCTTGTGTATACATATAAATAAAACGAAAAGAAAACAACGCACAAGAGAAAATAAAGGAAACTTATTACAAGTTTAGGAATTATTTATTTAATTTATGTTTACACTAATATACATATTTTTTTACGTTATGAATTTTGCAATATTGGTTTATACTATGCATTATTTCACTTTTCACAAAATGCCTGAATGTTTTTTTGAATAAATTTCTTTGCATGTATTGTGCTCCTTTGAGAATAAGCGTATACAATTATCAAGAATTTTACATGTATTGTGCCCCTTTAGAGAATAAACGCATATTCGTTCTCAATCATTCAACAGGTCTTTATAAAAAAGCCTCATCGATGCGAGATTAATGTGTATATACATTCGTACTCAATAATTTCCGTATACAAATTCTATATAATTGAGAAAATACAAATTCCATACAAAAGAGTTTTTGATTCGAACAATCACTTAAATACACACGGGAACGCACATTCATAACTAATTAAATGCTAAAAAAAAACATTTAAATTTTTATATATTTTTTTTTTTGTTTTAATATCGTCGCGATATATTATATATTATTTATATCTTACTTTCTGTTAAATTCCTCGTTTCGATAATGGGCAGATGTTAAAATCCACTTGTTATTTAACAAACTGCCGCCACAAAAATGTTTAAATTGCTCCTTCTCTAATAGGCGGTTTATCAGCATGTAATTCCATTTGTCTTGCTATCCATTGGCCATCCAATGCCGTCTAGGCGAACGGCTTGTAAATATTATACGTTTTTTTGAGAGCAAATACTGAATGGGAGCCAACATTTTTTTGCTTTTGTTTTGTTTGCAAATCGAGATAGATGTGATCAGTTAGAAATTATTTTTTCTATCTAGCAGAAATTCCGAGGAATTTGTTACACAATTTCAATTATAAAAAGCACACGCATAGACGAGTCGCCTTGTGTTCAGTGTAGTGCGTGTTTTCTATTCGTCTGCGTTTTTTCAATTGTTTCGGTGTTTTCGGTGTTTTTGTGTATTTAACTTCTGTCTTTTCAGTGTTATTGCTAAAACTGGTTAATGCGGATATCGCGTATGTGCTTTTGTTTCGTCTATATATAATCAAAAATAGAAAACAAAAAAACAAAGTAAAAAAAAAAAAAAATTGAAAACATTTGACACTTTTCTTTAGTAGTTCCCAACCTTCTTGCACAGTTCCCAAACCTTTTCAAGTGAGTGGTTATTTCAAAAATAATAATAAATAGACAACAATAACGCATAATGGCCCCGGGGCCGCCAGACAAAAACCCGAATAGATTTTATCTATTAAGTGATACATCCCCCCAAAGAAAAAAAAGTAAAAAATCAAATTTTCCGGTGTTGCCGATCAGCGATACAATCTCTATTGATAAAAAATATATTGTTATTTGTTCAACCGATGCTCGAATAACAATTTCCCAAATTAGCCCTTTTGCTATAAAAAAAGCTCTAGATAGCATTACAACATACATCGACTCGATCTCGATTCTACGCGACGGGAATTTACTGGTCCTCGCTGGGAACCCGCGCGCAACCGAAAAACTAATAAAGGCCAATTCCTTAGCTAATCTATGTGCTATTTCAGCTAAACTGCATGAGAAACTTAACTCGGTTCGAGGCGTAATTTATGCCCCTTGCTTAAAGCATGTGCCGGAAGATGAAATTGTTCGCGAAATGGGCATTCAAGGAGTGACTGAAGCATATAAATTAACCAAACTGAATGATGGCGGAAAAACACGCTCTCTTACAGGAAGGATTATTTTAACTTTTGATCGCTATCGATTACCGCGAACAGTTGATGTGGCGTGGTATAAAAGTAAAGTAGAACTATACATCCCAAATCCTATGAGGTGTAAAAACTGCCAACACCTGGGTCATACGGCAAAAAGATGCACTAATGCTGCATCTTGTGCTAACTGTGGTCATCCTCCACATACTGAAAGCTGTACCCGTAGTTTCTGCATAAATTGCAATGATCAACACTCAGCGTTAGACAAACAATGCCCACGTTTTGTACAGATGCGTGAAATATTAAAAATCAAAACAGAAAATTACTGTAGCATGGGCGAAGCGCGACGCACATACCGGGAAAGAAATCCATCTGTAGCCCATGGAATTGGCAAAAGTAATACCTATGCTGCTGTTGCCTCGCAAATAGAGCCTAGTAAGACTTTAACTGCAACTGCTTCCAATGAAAAACCTGTTCCACCATTAACCAAAAATTATATTGCGAAACCAGTTACATCACTTGCCAAAGATAATATTGAAAAAACCAAAGCAACTGCAAATATTGAAAAAATCCAAACAACAACATATATGCTAAAATCTAATATACCAAATTCTCCAGAATCTCCAGCTCTCAACTTTACTCAACATATCACAAGTGGTAATGAATCCATTCTTTCATCCATTAATCAACCTTCGAAAACCAAAGCAACTGCAAATATTGAAAAAATTAAAACAACAACACATTTGCTAAAATCTAATATACCAAATTCTTCAGAATCTCCAGCTCTCAACTTTACTCAACAAATCACAAGTGTTAATGAATCCATTCTTTCATCCCTCAAGCAACCTTCAATTTCAAATTATTCACGTGCGCCAACCCGTTGCGCTTCAAATGTACCAAATCACCTAAATACAGATTATTCTGCTGGTAAGAATAAATCATTCACAAAAAATTCCTATAGCGACCTTCTCGGCGGAGACGCTGACATGTCAACTTAACCCTCCCTCCACTCTGCTTACATGTCATTACAATTAAATAAAGTTTTTAAAATATTACAATGGAACATTAAGGGACTTATTGATAATTTTGATGAACTCCGTACACTCATAAATGGTTTTAATCCAACCTTTTTATCGCTTCAAGAAACCCATTGTAGAAGCTCTTTTAATCCTATTCAACCCAAATCATATACTGGATACTTCACGAATGCTGATCAAAATTCATATTCCAAACAAGGAGTAGGTGTTTTTATAAAATCAAGTATACCTCACAAACGCATAAATTTAAGCTCAAATATACAAGCCGTAGCGATACAAATAATGTTAAATATAAAATTTACAGTGCTTTCGCTCTATATTCCACCTTCGCAATCGTTTTCTCAGCAAGAACTCTACAGTTTATTCTCCGTACTTTCCCCCCCATTAATTATATGCGGCGATTTCAACAGCTGAAATACCATCTGGGGCTCAACAGTGAACAACACTCGCGGTACTGTTTTAGAAAAGGCCTTTTTTCAAAGCAACCTTTGCGTTTTAAATGATGGAAAACCAACGCACTTCTCAACTCATCATACTTTTTCACATATTGATTTAACATGTTGCTCTCCCTCACTTCTTCCTTTGGTTTCCTGGTCTATTTCTGATGATCTACATGATAGTGACCACAGGCCAAATTTTTCCTAGATAAAGCGGTTTGGATCAATTACTCCAAACAGGTGGAGTCATTTTTGAATTCAAAGCCATTTAACAGGAACTGCAACCATGATGCTGCTATTATGTCCAAAGCGATTCGCACGGCTGCTCATCTTTCTATTCCTCAATCCAACACCTCTTTTAAACGATAATATCGATAGATGTGCCATGTTCCTGGAAAATTGCGTATCTACCTCAGAACTTGGAAGTTGTCTCTCCAATTTGAAGGGGAAGACACATGGTCTAGACCGCATCTCACACCAAATGGTCATTGCTATGCCTAAGTCTAGTAAAAAGAAATTACTGGACCTATATAATACGGTATTTATGACTGGCCATATACCCTACATGTGGAAAATGGCAACAGTTGTTCCAATTCCAAAGTAAAAAAAATGTCTCCATCGTATCTGATTATCGCCCAATTTCTCTTTTATCTTGCCTCTCTAAGGTTTTAGATAAGATTATGGCATCTAGATTATCTTGGTTTCTTGAATCCAAGAACCTGATAACAAAGCAACAAGTTGGTTTCAAGCGGGGTAGAGGATGCATCGACGCTCTGTTACATATTGATTATTTCACAAGCAAAGCAATTTCCGAACGAAATCACGTAACAATTCTCTCAATTGATTTCGAAAAAGCATTTGACAGAATTGGTCTTCATGTTATCTTAAGACTCTTGAAATCATGGAATGTTGGACCCAAATTCTTCAACTACATCAAATCATTCATGTCGCATCGGCGATTCAAAGTTAGAATCAACAATCATCTTTCTGATTCCTTTCCGCTAAAGAATGGCATTCCGCAAGGATCTCCTCTCTCTGTCACGCTTTTCCAGATCGCTTTCAACGAAATTAGCGAAATTCTTTGCCGTGTACCAAGAGTGGAACATTGTCTCTACGCGGACGATGTATACATTTTTACAAAAGAAAAAGACAACACGAAAGCAATCAACATCCTCGAATCTATTGCATGTGAGATCTCCACATGGGCAAACTCGTCAGGAGGTATAATCTCTATACAAAAATCAAAAAAAATGCACATTTGTCGAAAACACATGTGCGATGCAGGAAACCTACTGATGCATATTAACGGCTTACCAGTACTAAATGTGCAGACGCTCCATGTTCTCGGGCTCACGTTTTCAAACAATTATCGTTGGAAAGCACACTGCCTTCGTTTAAAAAACTCCCTTTTAACAAGGGTAAATTTCATACAGTAGGTTGCGTGGAGAAGCCATGCGCATATTAACACTATCGCTTATCTTACCAAAATGCTTGTGTTCAGCAAGATTGACTATGGTTTGATAATTTATGGCAATAGCTGCAAATCTAATATCAACACCCTTAAACCGGTCTATCACCAAGCCGTTAGAGCAAGTTGTTATGCTTTTCGGACGACGCCCATATATAATATTATAATTGAAAC